GGTTTCAAATGGTTCACGATAACCTTTTTAAGTGCCAGCACTCGACCATAATTCAATTTATAAATAAATGTTAATTACTGAAAATTATTTGTATCCCTTTGTAGCCCATTTTTTTTCACAAAATCAAATAGATTCAATATTTTTGATAATTCTTTTTTTTTGCCAAAGTTCTCCCCAAGTTGTCCAAAATTAGAAAAAAATTAAATACTGTTTTGCCATTGAATAAGATGTACTTTTACATTTTCAAATGCAGTTTTTGAATGAGTAAATTTAGTCTTACCTAAATCATTATATCAAAGAGAGTTGCATATAAATATACCCATGGATTAAGGAATACTACATGTAAGAATTAGTTCTTTAGCCTTCATTGATATATTTCAACTGAAAATGATTATAGAAATTGTTAATAAAGTATTTGATCAATGTTGTCCATTTTGTTCGCTTACTTTGAAAAATAATTTGTAGAAATTTATATAATAATTGTTGGAAAATTGTTTTTTATATTGATTAGTGTCTCTCAGACTTATTGTGGCAGCCATGTTTAAGCTGGGTTCAATGTGATTCAAATGTCCTTGGAGTGCCACATCCGTAACACACACTACTGTTGTAGCTCTTTCTGGTATGAGAGAAACTTTTTCTCTTGAATGCAGAAGTAAATGTTCTTGTCCTATCACATTAATGGCACATTGTGAAATAACTGTAGCTCATTCTGGTATGAGGAACACTTCTTCCCTTGAATCCAGATGTGACTGTCCTTGTGTTGTCATATTAATGACACAAAATACTAAATGAATTTCTATTTCTGCAGACACTTCGGCCCTTGAAAGACCTCCATTTGATATGACAYAATTGTTTYATGTATGAATTCGTGCGGAAAGTTCTCTAGTAAAGATTCTGCCGTGTCAAATCCTGCTGTATAGCTAGCACTTCAGATTCACCAAACAGGAATACTCCCATACCAACATACACCATACCGAGAGCAATTAAAACCCAATGAATRGTTGATGGATAGGCATCTTTGATCAACTCCATTACAAGACAAATTCCTGGATAAAATAAGATGAACAATGCTGCGATTCCTCCAACAACAGCGATGACATTATCAACATCAGGTATAAAAATAGAACACAGAAGAGAAACTGTAACCCAGCTAGTGGTGATGATTATTCTTCTAAGTCTGGCACGACGTTGTCCTTCGCCTATCGACATCCTCCAGGCCATCATCCATAAACCTTCAATAGATGACCGGCCRCARAAGGCACATGTYGCATARGATGAWAGGACCACAAGRGCCARTACAATCCTAGCAAYGTTAGCTRGAATRTCACTTTTATCGTAGTTCTTTAAGAAATCGCCATCCAACTTTTGTCCAAATGTGAGGTAACCAAAACATGCGGTAAATGAGTAAGCTGTACAACAGAACAACATTGCCAGAGTACAAACAATTGCAAAGCGGGGGAGGGTGGGTCGCTTTAGCTCTGCATAAACTGAAACAGCTTGAACGTGAACTTGATAACCAAAGCAAATAGTTGGAATAACAGTCAAATAATCTTTAATATCYTTCTCCACRTGAGGTACAATTCTTCTGGCATTGTATGTCCCGACAAAATACTTATAMGCTGCCACGAAGCAGATATACACAACACCAACGCCACCAACTGTACTTGTATAGCTTAGAATTCCCATRTTTTTTGGCAGGCATAATGGYAAAAGAAAGMATACAGCTACAACGCTTTGTAAAAAGTTCCTCTTGACGTACCAATGGTCCCCGGAAGCTACTGCCTCTCCAACTTTCTCAAGTTGGTCAGCAATGAGTACCATGTAAGCCACAGCAGTCCCAATCATGTAGGTCAATACCAAGATTTCTGCAATAACGTAATGCTTWGGGCCAAGACTGCCTCGGATGATTTGYTGGAAGTTTTGTGCTCCACATTTGTCWGCRCAATAAGCTAGGATTACGAAGGCACCAATGATGAAAACGAGCATGAACATTTGTATGATCATTCCGTGYGTTACTCCGCCAGCTTTGGCGAAAGCTTGTGGRAAGTTTAATATTCCAGCACCCATAGCACCATTCATGACAATAAAAATTGCCCTGAATATCGGTATTCCTGGTTGGTTGAAGCCCTCCTTGGATCTTCTTACTAAATACTCAGACGCAGCGAGAGATCTTGATGCATCTTGAACTGGAGCAGAGAGTAGCCCGCTATAAACGACCGGCTTTCGACCATTGTGTAAAAGTGCTTCGGCTTCAGTCATGTTCACGTTGCTCGTCATTCTTCTTTGACYGCTTRCTCCGCTCTTTGAGTCTTTATGGAGCAATTCCTGGTCGTTTTTCTGGTATAAAACTGGATTGTGTAACGATATTGCCGCCTTCAACACGCAATGTGGCTGGCGAATCTCATGGATGTAATGTGATWATTACGTAACTTAATCCTACAAAATGTACAACGAAAAAGTACTTTTAGAAGACCAAAGGCTAAGGCAAGCAATCTGCTTCGGTAAGGTATGGAAAATACGTATCGAAACCCCGAAAGAATTAAGCATCCATTCAAACCGAAGAAACGTTTCAACCTTGAGAAAAGTTTTGTCGGTGAGGTCACGTGTCACGTGATGGGCGATCTTAACCGGAAATAAAGACGAGTGATTGAGCACGAAGCTCAGGGTCAGAGAATCGTGCATCTTTCCTTGTAGTTCAACTATTGTAAAGTTTTGCTCTGCACCAACGTGTATTGAGCACTTTTCAACCGCGTCAGCTTCAAATTCACACGGCGAATTATTATAATCATGGATTGAGTTCACTAACCGGTCACGAGCTAATTCAATTCAATTCAATTTTTATTTTTACACACATATATACTTATTTTACAAGGAATATTATTAATGGATTAAAGATAATTATGGGGAATTACATGTTAATTTGAGGAATCGAGACATTTGAACAGCATTCGCGAGAATGGAAACGGCCCCCAATAAAAACAAGATAAATCCGGAATCCAAACAGTGACTTCAAAAAAGTCACCGACGAAAAAAAGTTAGGATCTTTTCCTGTCCATTATATGGTGGAATCCAAAATCCTTGAGAATTTCATATGGGATAGAATCCAGGAACAATCTGGGTTTCAGAGGTCAAGGTCATGCTCATGTCGCAATCCACATTCTAGCAAGAACGACTGACTGCGGACATACAAAATGAGTCTACTGTGCTAGATAGGATGGACACTTATTGATTAATTTATAATTTGTAAAGATAAAATTGACAGAAATGACAAACGAACACTTCTCATTCTTTTTAGCAATGGGCAACCTTCCCCCCAACCCTTCCCCTCGATGCAGTTCATTCTTATAATCAACATGAAAACCGAATCGGATACAGTTTTTAATGATAATTAATGTGTTCTTTTTACATTGGTTTGATGCAGTCAATTCCGATTAAAAATAGACTGAAATTTTGGGGTTCAAAATCGTGAAAAAAAAAACCGCATGCGCGTAAATGAAGAATACTAAAGCTTTTCGTCACCTACTTGATTTGCAATGCATTGTGGTATCAGATTCTGGAGCAAACAAAAGAAATCCACCATGTTATGCCCCCGACATATCGTACAATGCATTGCGTATACGTAATATGACGTAAGAGCTTCAGAGGTCTCTTGTATATCTGGAGTAGGGTTTGTTTGTTTTTGCTATTTTTTTCATTAATAGGTTAAAATACAAAAAAATAAATCAATTTACACTATTATTACGGGCCTTATAGCCAAAAAAATTCCTTTCTGCTTAAAACTCAATAGACCTCTTAATTTGCAATGCATTGTGGTATCTGTTTCTGGAGAAAACAAAAGAAATCCGCCATGTTTTATCCCAAACATAGAGTGGTTTTCATAACCCATGAAACACACTTTAGCGTATTTATCGCTATCACACTTTGGCTCTTTTGTTTTTTATTGTCTCTACGCGACTATTACGATCTATTACACTCTAATTATTATACTTTGTTTCACGGGTTTATGAAAACCACTCTATCCTACAATGCATTGCGTATACGGTAAAAGCTTCAGAGGTCTAATAGGCCTTAACTACATTGGAGACCGGAGGGTCAAGTGATGTAACGACTATTTGTTTACCAAAGACAAATGAAATCACTCAGTACTCTCGTTACAATTAACGCTTGAAACACCAGAAAAGGTTAGAGTGAAGTCAAAAAACCCGTGAAATAGATATTACACTAATACACCTTAACACGCTTTTCTTTTGTGTCTATTTGACTATCACACTTTAAGAGCAGGGGTCATACTTTGTTTCACGGGTTTAGAGTTAGGTCATTAAACCCGTGAAATGAAACTTGTCTGTTAAAATGATATATAAATGTCAAATAGACACAGAAGAAAACAATACAATTAGACCGTACTAAGGTGTATTAATTAGTCAAATATATATTTCATTGGACTTTTTGACCTCACTGTATGTACTGTATGTACTAGACTACTATCTACTAAGTTATTTCACGGATTAAAGGGACATGGTCCACCAGCATCCCTTTCGAGCTTTTGTTTATGTTTGAAAATAGAAATACATCGTAATATAAGCAAAAACTTACTGTTTATTATTCCTTTATCCTATATGAATGGAGATGCTTTAAGATTCGACCGTTAAACCGATGGATGGAAACGGATTGCAAATGGATATTCGAAGTCACCTCATTTTCCA